CACACACACACACACACACACACACACACACACACACACACACACACACACACACACACACACACACACACACACACACACACACACACACACACACACACACACACACACACACACACACACACACACACACACACACATACATACATATGTATGTATATGTATATGTATATGTATATGTATATGTATATGTATATGTATACAAGGTTCGCAATACCGTATCGTACCGGTATTTCGACCTGGGCTCGGTACCGGTACGGTACGGTATACCAAGCGGTACACCCAGGTGTGCCGAGTACTGTAGCACTGCTACAGTGCTACAGTGCACTCGGACCGGTAACAGGTGGTTCGCATACCGACAACCTGTCGGACCGGTACGTACCGCCCGTATCGGGCGGTACGGTTCGGTACGGCAGACCCTGTATGTATATGTATATAACCTGTTTACTTCCTTTTACTCCTCATCTATCTTGTGGAGATTACCATCTTCCCTTGAAGTATGGTGACATTCAATAAGAGGTGATAAATCCAATCAGATTCATTGATTTGGTAGAAATTAGAAAAACAATGACATGTGGATCATATTTAATACAAGCAAGCTTAGGGTAAAACTTACAAATGATTCATAAAAAATTACTAGAAACTTTCAAGTGATATGAACTTTGACAATAAAATCTCTACTACTTTTAGTTTCCAGTACGTTGAGATCTAGCTGAGGTAAAGTATGTATCTATATATGAACTCATGAAATTTTCATCTATGTTTAGGAATTTATATTATAAGCACATATATTATAGATAAACAATATCATGAACTAACCTTAACCAATAGTGATTTTGAAGTAACAATATGGGGTTGATCTGACAATTGGCTTTTCTGTTTATGATATCCTCGAGGAAGACTGCCAAGATCATGGGGGAAAAAGATCTCTACATCGAAATCCAGAAAACCATACACCTTTAGCATTTTTAGCATTTCTGAGTATATGAGTGATAGTATCACTGCTGATCCTGATCGACAAGTCAAAGCCTGCTCAATATAAAAACGTGTGAACAAGATAGCCTAGAAAAGAAGAATTCTAAGTTAATCAGGAAAGGCAAAAAGAAGGGAACAGAGGATACCGAGTGAAGATATAACGATCGGGCATCTGACATTGCATCTGTTCTACGAAATCCCTGGCAACATATATGGTGGTGAATAAGTTTACTACAAGAAGCAATAACAGAAGGAAAATGACATAAATGGAAGAGTCCAAATCCTTTTAAAAAACATTCAAAAATAACTATTGCCAGAACCAAAAAAGATTAACAACTAGAACTAAGAACATCAAAGGTGAGACCATTCTATACTGCCAAGTTCATCAGATTCAATAATAGCATATCAGCACAGTCCACATGGTCTGCATCATGATAGGTTATAATTGAGCATTAGGATCCCTTAAAAAGCAGGCTAAACAAATGAATAAAAATCAATTTTATGATGAGCTATATATGAAGACTGCTGAACTGTTAATAATGTCCCCTAACAGTACCATCTGAACTACATACATCAAGCTTAAAACTTATATTCACATTGTCCAACATATGATTTTGATGTGGTGAAACTATTGAGTTCCCTCTAATTCACCTTACATAAACCTAAATTTCATAGATTCCTGAAAGATTTTAACAATCAGAGGTCACTGATGAACATGGATACCATTGGCAAGTAGATAATATAAAATGCCAATAATTTATTTCATAGTACATGTGTACTTTTCTCATGCTACAGAAGAATTGCTTGGAAACTGGATTCAAAATTCAAAATAAGAATCTATTGCACATTTACCAGCATTTTGTATCACAGGGCTTGTTTGTTGAATCAGTTGATTACGCCAACTAATGGGATGGAAATGTGAAGCACAAACAGGGCAAATTAGGCATTCGCAGAGAAATCAGAGCATGAAATTAGAAGTTCTATTATGTTATTGGCATCGCATACCATAAGTAACTACCTTGTGAACATAGAAATATCTTTCCAGGTTCCCAAGGAACACCTCGGGAGGGGAATTCAAGGGTGGCATGTACAGGGAGCAGAACCCCATAGATAGATCATCCAACCTTTCGACGAACGCATCCACCGGCAGCGGCACGGACGAATGGGAGATAAGCGAATCATCCTCCGCCGCGATCTGCAGTGCGGCTTTAGCAAGATCGGCGCCGATCCTGACGACGATGCTCGTCTCCCCGCTGATCCCGGACAGGCCCTGTATCTGCTGGCAGAACCCTTCTCTCGCAGCCTGATCCAACAACCACACCCCCGTTTCTTGATCGACGATCAAACGAAACCAAACACATGGCAAGAAATCGAAAAGAAGTAGAGAGACATAGATCACGAACTCGCGCGAGCTTGGTGTCGATGCCGGCTTGGTTGAGGGAGTCGTGGAGGAGAAGGCGGGGGAGGCCGTCGGCGGTGCTGGTGTCGGTGGTGGCCGTTTGGTGAGACTGTGTTCGAAGGTTGGGACGAAGAGACGCTTTCCTATGGAAAGTGCAAGGACGAGGGAGAATGACGATGGAGGGCGTAGCCCGTGCGACGCAGCTCATGGCTGGAGGCGGAGCTACGCGAGGAGGAGGAGGAAGAAGGGGAGAGCGCGAGGCAAATGAGATGGAAAGCCGATCTCGGCCGACTTTTTGTATCTTATCTTTCCCAAGTCTCTGACGAGCCTTACCATTCCGGAGGGTCGTCCTGAAATGTCTCGGTTTGCCTCCAATAACGCTACTGGAATTACAAGCACCAGTCAAACCCATATGACACATATAATATAAAAATATCTCACAATTATTCAATCAAGCTAAATAATTGTTAGACAAAACCAAATAAAATAGGATTTGAAGCCACTCGTCGAGAATAATATATTAGTCACCACCACATATCCTTATGATTTTTATGAGGGAGTCTCAATTTTCTCTTGCAATGACAAAAGAGTTCATCTTCAAGTCCTTGTATTTGGTCCTGTGTAACATTCTACCAATTCAATCTTCTAGTGATAACCCCTTCAAAACTAGTGGTCCTGCTTCTCGGTTTGGCGATAAGATCTGCTCGGCCAAATGCTGCTATCTATTCAGTGTTTTGATGGTGAGATATCACTCTGTGGTCCTTCTCGACTTGAGTCAGTTCATGTATCACATATACCGGCTCTAATTGGCTTATCAGTTGCATGGCGAAGAGTACATCCTGCTTTTGATAACATCTCAGCCATTGATTTTGCATTCGCCGGTTGGCAGTATTCGGCGCCTTGTCCCTCCTTCCTTTCCCCTCGTGTGAAAATTCTACGTAGACGGATGGCTGGGCACTCACCTTGAGGTCCTAGATGATCAAGAGGTGTACGATATTTAAAGCACAATTTTGTCACTTCAGAAAGATCTTTTCTGTATGCAACTTTTCGTAAATCTTACGTTTACTGTGACAACTTTACGTGAATCAGGATTTTTAGCTGTGAATGATTGAAGACGAAGAGCATTGAGAGCCCTATGGGAGAACATGATTATTTGTGTCTGACGAGGCCATAAAAGAAGGCGAAATTTCCTGCATCATATCCTCCTTTACAATCATCTCCATCTTCCTTCGTCGAAAGTGCGAGCATTCCCTACACATCTTTCTTGTGCACAGGAGCTCATGAATCCCCCACAACGACTGCCTTCTTTGACCGAGTATAAAGAAATGCAGAGAAAGGAACATGCATGGACAAAAATGGATAAGGTAGCAAGCCATTGCTTAATAGATCTGCTCTCAGCCTCCCCAACTTCACAGCCTTTCCTTGTGCTTGGCGAGTGTGAGACCTGCACCCATGCGTGCATATGTCCCGGGCGTCACGGAGGAACAACAAGGTCACATCTGGATCATGCTTGACGACATTGCTTCCGTTGGAAGCTTCTCACTGTGGAGATAAAAAAACAGAAGAAATGAAGAAGAAAGAAATCTTCAAGGAATTGATCGACTGACGCTTGTCAATCTTTGTTCCGGCAAAGCATTGGAAGTCGGAGTTTGGCTGTTCGCAACAAAAATAAAGATAAAATGACTTCGTAGCTTCTCACTCACGAAGCAAAAGTGGCATCTCAGCGAACTCATGACGTTTCCCTCCTTTTCCTTCTCTACCTTGTAGTAACTGCAGGGTGGTTTAGCAATGACGGGGAGGACGAGACGACGACGACGGCTGGGCCCATAGAACCACATCTGTGTGGGTGAGCTGACGAGGCAACGGACTAGGCTCACCGAAAGCAGCCGTTGAGTCCGCCTCCGGCTTCACGTCCTCCTCCCTGAACGACTCCCCGTCCTCCTCCGCCAACGGTAGCCGGTGGAACTCGGGCTTTGGGAACGTCGCCGCCACCAGCAACACTGGCCCCACTGCCGTCATCGGCCCCGCCACCGTTCCCCCTATGACTTGCCCATGCGGCCCCGCCAGGGAGACGGTCAGGGGAGACAGCTGGGCGGGCCATACTACCACCTCTGGGGCGGGCGGCTCGGAAGGAAGCAATGTGCCAGAGAGCGAGAGGATGTCGAAGCGTCCTGGCACTGAGATGGTGGACGGGCCACCGGCGGATGGGTGGCGGAGTGTGACGTCGGCGACGGCGCCTCTCCCGTCAAGAACAGAGACGCCAACGCCGCGGCGGCGGGCGAACTCGGAGATGCCGGAGACGACGTCGGAGCCGCCGGCGAGCTCCAGAACCAACGGGTGCATTGCGGACTCGCTCCTCCTGGTGATGACCACCGGCGGCTTCGGTTTGTTCTTGGAGCCGAGGGGCCTCCCCCTGGGCTTTCGCGCCGTCGATCCACCACCTGAAGAGGGCTCGCCGGTGGCGGTCGAGGAGGATCCTCCCGCACCGACTCGGGACCTCGCGCCGGCGCTTCCTCCGTCGCCATCGTTGCCTTCGGAAGCGGCGCCGTCACGGGGCTGGGGGAGGGCGATCATAGCGGTGCCAGGCGAACGCACGAAGTCGGACCGGCCAAACTGAAACGACATGGCAGAGACATCCCGCCGCCTTCTTTTAAAGAGTGCTCAGAAGGCGGCCATCCCGTCGAGTTACGTTGGTCCTCCAGTTCGAGGTACGTTAAACCGCATCGCTTTCCATCCACCGTTCATTTGATCATATCACGAACATCGATGTAATCCATAGCTACAGCTTAACCGGAGGAGACAGGGAAGGAGGAGGTGCATCTATCCTAGAGGCAGTATTCTCTGCTCGTTACGTCGCCATCGGCGTGTTATGTCAGGTGGTCAGGTGATCCTCCTCGGTCGGTGCAAATTGACGATTAGTGAGCAGGCGTGCTCGAAGTGAATTCTTTCGGCGATGCAATAGTGTTTGATTGCCTTCCCACCACCGACGGCTTCGGTGTTGCATTCATATGTTATGCACAGGAAAAATCCGATCAAATTAAAATTTAAAACATATATTTTAAATAAAAAATATTTACTGTAAATTTAAGAGCACTAAGTAAATAATAATATAACAAAAAAAAAAGAGTTCGAGATTGAAGATGCATTTTTTGAATAACATTACTAACTTAGAGTTCTGTAGTTAAAATAATCAGATTGAAACGATTTGCCTTTACTATATTAAATATCTACTAAAGATTCTCTTATAATAAAAGGTTGAGCTTCCATAAGTAAATCTCATCACTTCCGTTGATATATATATATATATATATATATATATATATATATA